GCGTCCGAGATTCTGGTTTGCGGCGCATCTGCATTGCAAATTTGCTGCAGTTGTTCAGCATAGGGTAAGGTAATTCTCTTCAATGACGTTATACTACCCATGAGTTCTGTCATGACCCTGTTATAAGCCTACTGAAGAATAGGTGGAGTGTTGGCAGGAATGAAATTCCCCCCGCAATAATGTTTAAAGCCCACAAAAACTGAATGGCTCATTTAAGTACAAATTTTGAGCGTTTCCCCTCGGCACCCTCCGTAATCACCCTCCTTCTGTGTCAACCAACATGAGCTAGTTGATTCAGAAGAATTGGTTATTTAATAAGTCCCTTTTTTACCTGTCATCAGTGATGCATCCCGTGTATTCCGATGGGCCTAGAGTTACGTCCTCCTTGTGAATTGCATTGCGGAGGCTTCATTAGTTCCGCAGCATTCAAGTTGGGACAATGTTCCTGTGGCCATTGTTATTCGTCGGAACACCCTTTTGAATGTAACTTTGCCTAGCAAATATTCTGCACTTCATCTCCTTGGAGCTTCGTTTAATTTTCACTACTGCTCGCCCAACTCTCTGAGTCCCATATAGTTTTTGGGAGGTAGCATTTCTTCGCATAAGGGATCTCCGAGTCTGTTGTTGCTTCAGTTGGTAAGTGCCGCCTTGTCGAACACCAGATCATTCCCTTTGGTGTGCGTCTCTGCGGCTCTGGCAATCCGGGCTGTGTATGTCTATCCAATGAAGTCAGGTCACTATTGTTACTAACGCAACGTCCCAGTCCTCTCAGAAGACGTTTCTAAGGTATATGAGCTGGTAGCAGTAATGGCCTGATAATACATCGTGCCACGAAGACGTAGGGACTCGGAGCCTACGGTAATTGGGGAGCTCGCGTGATTGAACGAATTTAATGCTATCACAGTGAGGCTGTGATAGTCTGTCTCCCCTTTCCAGGATCCTCCAGATCGACAGACAAAGTTCCTCGCTTTGGATAAGTGCCTTCCATCCCGAGACTACCTCCAGTTCCTGGACATTGAACCGGATCCTTCACCCGCTGCATTCGATACAGAAGGTAATGTCGTAGGTGCAGATGCAGAGCATGGACCCATAATCGTCACCAACATAGCAACAGAGGAGGAGGAGGAGGAAGATGCAAAGAAAAAACTGTTTATCGACCCGGAGTGGATGTGTATTCTGCAGTCTACGAATCAGTTTCTGTCGCTCACACAGATACCATGTATGTTGCCAGGACAGGATGGCAAGCCAATGTGAGTTTTCCCACTGGACACGACGTATTTAAACATTGTATAAGCGAGTCACACCTCTGAGTAGGTTATCAGCGTGGAGGTAAGTTGGTGAAAATAGTAGCAGGGTTGGATGCAAGCACCTTGGAGGCTACCAGGGGGGGGGGGGGGTATTTGAAATTTTCCCCTCAAGACGACGGTGATTTAACTTGTAGTTTGTGGTGAATGTCTCTGTCGCGTAAACTTTCCGACCAGCATTGCTTAAGCAGTTCTACAACGTTTTCTCTCAAGCGTATTTCAGATTTCACTCAAATTGAATTCCACTTCATTACTCGCCTTTACATCGACCTCGAGATTGGTATACTTGATAGAAAAGGAACAGAGTTTGGATTGTCCTTGTGCAGTGAGTCTTCATGGACTCAACCATCCATAGCAAGTGGTATTTAACTGCAGTAATATGGCAAGTGGTGTTGAAATGCTTCCTATACTCCCCTAGGGCTTATCGTTATAAGGTGTGTCCATCTAGAGGTAGGTGTAGGGGACCAATTATATGGCAGAACCATGTGAGAATTGAAATATTTGCTTTCCATTAGATCCACTAACTAACCTATTTCATTGTTTTATTCCATTGTAGACGGTCATATTCTGCGACGGCAGACGATCTAAAATCCATTTATGAGACTTTCGGAGGCATCTTTAGTCTGCCTCACAACTTTGAACGCACCGCTCCAATCTACAAACCGGAAGACACGAGCTTAAGACGAAGAGACAATCAAAAACTGGCGAAGTTAGCTGAAGTCGATGCTCGGAATCAAAAGCAGGCCTTTTTCTCGAATCCTCAAACCGAGTTGTTGTGTGCCATGTTGGAACTGACCAATCCAAATGCGGCACTGATGGGAAAGGCGTCGTATAACTTGTCTGAAATGACAAGTCGTATAATGACAAAGGATGAAGATGACGGTGATGGTGTTGTGAGTAGTGATGAGGATGGATTTGGACCGAGTCCGTCAAAGTCGTCTCGAACGATACCGAATCCAGAGGAGATAAATCTGGACGATGTATACGAACACGATCCAGGATCGGTTGGAGGTGTGTACGGGAGTGAAACTTTAGAGGCACCGATGAATGACAATGAGTACAATCCGGAACCGGTTGTTAAAAATCCCGAAGTGATCGATATTGATGGTTTAGACGATGAGGAAGTCGAAGAAAACGAAGAACCGGAAGCATATGAACCACACTCTCTGACTGGTTGCAGAATCGACCCCGGGGTTACTTACAATCCTCAACCGATGAATTTAAATGAGTCAATTGTGGAGAGGAGCAAAACTAAGTAGCCTATGTGATCTCAACTTTTTGTGCATTTCATGTATAGATGCAAATTATGTAAATAGCTGGCATGAAAACGCAATGTATTAAAGGCCTTTGCATTTCCAGGAACTTTTCCTAACCCCGAGGAGGTGAATCACATTTCTAAAGCTTGAGTTGGATTTCCTGCAAAATTATGTCTTTATGAAAGCGGGTCGTAATGTTACGTTGACATTGCTTGTTTCCTAATATCGGAGCCGTTCTGACTTTCAACACACGCTTTGAGAGATTGACAAAAAGGGTCAACAGGTTGTCATTAAGCTTCGCCCATATGAGGACAACTGCCTATCATTCTGACGCCGACGACCACGTTGAACACTCACCACCAATTGAAAACCATTTTTACAATCAGCTCTGACGTATAGCAGGTGGATTTGCTCTCTATTGCCTTAGTGTTGGCTTCACAGAGTATACCTGCCGTCCACCTTTAGAGCTAATAGTTGATATCGCGTTCTCACCCTCCCCTCTCTGGCGAGGACGATATCGTGTAATACGTTGACTGTATCTCCAACTCTATACTTTGGTAAAGGGA